TGGAATCTTGCTTCCTGAATAAAATGAAACTAAAAATTAGCAATCAAGCATAAAAAAGGCTGAACAAATGTACTTTCTGAGAAAAAAGGGAGAGGGGGAGAAAGAGGAAGCATATTGTATTACTAAACTATTTTCACTAAGGGTGGCAGTTCACAAGTACTGTATTACTAAGAAGTGAGATGAAGAGACATACTGAGCTATTCTGCTCAATCATTTTAGAAAACACTCCATTTGCATAGACTTCACACAATGATCTGTCAAAGCCTCGAGACAACCTTTCTAGCAATATAAATCTGCAGAAGTAGGGGAGTAAAAGATGTTCCAGAAAACATCTACACCACAGGTGGTTACTACTTGCTGAATGCAAAGATACTCCGGTATTTCAGATATGCTGTTTAATTAAACTCACAGGATATTTTACAGTGTGTTAAAGTTCCACCACCTACCTTTCTGTAACAGATGTACTCAGTCACAGGAAATATTTCATCAGAGTAACAGTAAAGAGCAGATGTGTAACCAATTACTGTTTTAGTCAGCTACAACAGAGAAACAGCACAACAAAGAGTGCACACACTGGCCTTCCAGACTTAAAAACTCACTGCAGCAGTAAATAATTGTACTTGCCTACTTCTGCCCTTGAACACAGAACAAGAAGGCTGCTGAAAGGAAAGAATTCCTGGGGTATGCATGTTGCTGAAGCCAGGAGAAAAGCTGTGCTCTGCTGTCAGAGCACAGACAGAACGGCTACAGTATTGCATTTCCTTTTTTGTTCATTCAAGACAACACACAAGTCTGTAAAGGGAAAGCACCAGGAAGATTCAGCAACATCTTCTCCAACATCTCCCTGTTCCATTTTCTTTAGAGTTTAGAAATAGCAACAGTTACTATTTAAATGATTGTGTTAAATGAAAAAAAAAAAAAAAACCCATACAATTTTAGTGTATTTGTGTGTGCTTAAATCTCTTCATCTCATGTCTCCCATTTTCAAACATGGCTTAGAAGAAAATTTCTGTGTATACTACATAAAACACAAAGACATTTTACAATAGTAATTATTGTCTAGCGCAGCATTAAAACCTTACAATACAAAGATGCCCATTAACGTAGGGGAGTGTGTGGGTTTGGGGCTTTTTTTTCCACAAAGCAGGGAGGGAAAACAGAAAGAGAGGAGAATTATTACAGTTATTAGGTTCTTAATTACATGGAACTCAGTTTGACAGCATTATTCATGAGTTAAGGGAATTTAAGTATCAACATATGCCATTACACTCTTTTATTAATATGCAAGGAAATAAAATTTAAAGGAGTAAAACTTCCATTTTGAACAATTTGCTTCAGTGATGCTGTACATTCAAGTGCCATTAATTCAATGCAAGCTGCAAGACTACAGCACACCTGAGAAAGATGAGGCTAAACAGACTGCTTAGTAAGACTAGCTGTTTTGCTAAAGGTAAATATTTAGGAAACAAAACCATTCTGGATCATCAGAGATGATGCTAGAAACACTAATGAGAGTGCTCAAACCTTGTGAAATCCACTCAAGCACTATAACATTGATTTTTCTTTTTCTATATTTAGTGCAGCCTTCTTTCAAATGAAACTGCATGTTCCTCGAAATGCGAAAGGGAAAGCACGCATCCACCACTGAAGGTGACAACTTCCTTTCAACAGAAAGCAGGGTAAAGAAGCGGCAACAATAAATTTGAAGTATGTTATACAGCTGAAATCAAGGATAAAAATTTTAAAACATTAGTGAGTACCTACTCTAAGCAAGCTCCTAACACCAACATCCAAATGTAAGCCAGCCCAGTTTTGCAGCTAGCAAGCTTTGATCTTGCTAATTCAACTATGTCAGCAAATGCTGCAGTCACACCAAAATGCAGGGCTGACCCAGACTGCCATAGAGTCTGCTAAAAAAAAAGATGTTACTCTCACCATATTACCTAATACTAAACAACAATAATTAGCACACTTGGATTCATTTTTAAATTTTTTTAAAATATAGTAGAAACCTTCCTGGGTCCACTCATAATCACCAGAATAAGACCTATTTAGTGAAACTGCTGATGTCCTGAAAGCTTCCCTTGGAGACCCGTGCCACCTGTGCTCACTGAGGGTGCTCATTGTTTCAACTAGTTTAAATGGTGCAAGGTACAATATAATCTTATGTTCAACACTAGTTAGTAACCTAACAGTATATATTGCACCTTCTTTTATTTACAGGTATGGATGAACTGACTTTATTGAAGAGTTCAACAGACAGCATCAGGTCCTGCTAAATTACTTACAGCTAGTAACTCCTAAAATATGTTTGAAGGGTACTTTATTTCCTCAGCTGTTTCACAGACACTGCAGCTCCCATTTCTGTATTAGCAAATCCCTAACAACCTAGAAGTAGCCTCCATGCAGGAACAGGGATGCAAATACAAGACCTGAGGGTGAGGAATCCTAAGGAAGTTTAAGAGCAAAGGCAATTTAACCAGGTCTTTGTTCAAGAAGTACTGCACCACACTCGGAAGCCAGAATCTTATTCTGCTAGTCCCTAAACAAATAATATTTGTGTACTTGTTATGGATGTATTAATTAATTGCTATTATGGTCTTATTCAAGCAGAGTGGCCTCTAGTTTCACTGCTCTTCATCTGGGAATATATTATTGGCCAGTAAACTAAAATCTTTTTTTATTTTTAAGACTTGAACAAAAGCAAATAATTTTGACTCTAACTGTAATATATCTAGCAAGCTCTTCAGAAGCACCAATAAATAATCTCTGTACAGCACATTCTTGAAGCATTACCTCATGTGGTCTAGCACAGAGAACTACAGAACCTACCAACAGTCCATGTAAGAGCACTGCGAGCACCCAGCCTACCATCTTGAACACCAAGCCTAAAAATAGCCAGCACATATTGCTTGCAGATGAGAAAATACAAATCACTCTGGCTCGCAAGAAGACCATCCTGATTCCTGTCCATTCGTCAGATGTCATTCACAGAGCAGTAACCAACTCTCCTCCAAAGGGCTCTGAAGGCTTGGCCTCCAAAAAAAGCCCCTCACCCTGGCTTTCACCTCACAAGACACCCTACTAGTCTTAGACTTAAAATTCCATGACATAAAATGATCCTAATCTCATCTCAAATTTATAGAATGTAATACCACTTAATTCCTCCTCACTTGGCACATACTAGTTCTGGCTTGCAATTTCAGGATTTCATAGAAGTAAGATCTTCTCGTAAGCTATTATCACCACACTCACAATATTTGCCTTGTGACTGTACTAACAAACTTAAGCACTTCAAACATGCATGCTTCAAACAAGTCCTGAATTAAAAAATAGATGGTGGAAGGGCCTGTATATTAAAGAGGCATTCTCATCTTAAAATCTTTAGATTTAACATGATAAACCTAGTTCAGGGACAAACATACACATAAAAAACTGGCATTAAAAAGACAATCAACATTACAGTTGGCCTCTGCCTTAAATGCTAATGTTTGGTGCCAACACCTTTTCTTAAAATAATTGCCCAAGTCCACAACACACAAAGCGACATCTAAAGCTATTACGAGACAGGTTAGAGCTGACACCACACACAAAGATTATCTAATCTAAACTACTCATTAGAAAACATACTTGTGGGTTCTTGGGGTTACCAGCTCTCTTTCAAAAACATCAGAAATGCCAACAGCAGACTTGCTTGGAAAGCAGTTTCAGAAATTTGCTCAAGGAAAATGATGCAGTTGTAATGTTGTAAAATGGGTGCCTGAAGAACAGAGGTTTGTATCATGTCAAGGTGTACTCAATGACACTGAATCACTTTGAAGAAGCTGTTCCACCAATTCCTTACATAAGCCTTCCATGACTTTACTGTTACAGAAAGCCCACTTTAACAGCAATAACAAAATAAATTTGACAAGCTGGACAAGAGAGATAAAAACACACACAGAAGTTTCTCTTTTCTCACAAACACCATGATGTCCTTGAGCCACACATCAACACAACTCGAAAGAAGTTGCATAAGGAATGCAACCTAACATCCACTCAACCCCTGAATACATTTAAGCATATCTATTCTTCCCTCAAACTTATTTTCACAGGGTTTTAGCTCAGAAAAGAAGACAACTACTGAAGATGGCTCTTTGCAGACAACTTTTATCCATCTTGGACACTTCCATGTCATCCTCCCACTACTGAAGGCCAGATTCACCCCATGCCACCACAAAGGGTGCTCCCCTCATCTTTTAGCTGTGCCCCACTTCAGAAATTTGGGAGTTTCATGCTTACCCCATTTGTACAGGTGTCAGAGGATCTGAACTCCACCTGTGAACAACTGGGGCTCTAGGCTTGGCCTGTCCTTAGCACAGGCAGCAGCACACGAACAAAGTTAGCAGAGGAGTCTCCTGAGCTGCACCCTCGGCTTCCCTACCCGCAGACCTGGGACCATCGCTGCAGCCTCGAGCTGCCAGCGCTCGAAAACCGCGACACACAGAAGAGGAAGGACAGCTTATTTTCGCTGATTTCGGGTTTTTATAGGAGAACGTGCAAGTCATTTCACGCGGAAATAAAGCAGAACAGAACGGGTAGGGAGGGGGTGCCCGGGCAGGAGCCCCGGTTTGCGCCGCGGGCCTGGGCGGCGGCGGCGGCACCGCGCAGGTACCACCGCGATGGTGCCACCGCCGCTGCCCGGAGCCCGCCCGGACCCCCGCACCCCTCAGCCCCTCGGGCGGCCGCGAAGATGGCGGAGGGTCCGCGCCCCGCTGCCCCCGCACTCACCTGTCAGCCACAGCCGCGGCGGCGGGCGGGGAGGGGCAGGGCCGCAGGCGGCGCGGAGAAGGAGGAGGGGAAGGATGAGGACAACGAGGAGAAGGCGGGAGGGGCAGCAGCGGCGGCAGCAGCAGCAGCGGCGATGATCGCGGCGCCGCTCGGGCAGGACGCGCCTCCCCGGTGCCGAGCCCTCGCGGCGACATCCGGCGGAAGCGGCGCGGCCCCCGCTCCGAGCCGCGATGGCGACGGGCTGGCAACGGGACAGCCTCCCGCCCGGCACGGCCCGCGGGCTCGGCAGTGCCCCGGCCGCAGGGAGAGCCTCCCGCCCGGCACGGCCCGCGGGCTCGGAACGCCCCGGCCGCAGGGAGAGCCCCGCGGGCTCGGAACGCCCCGGTCACAGGGAGAGCCTCCCGCCCGGCACGGCCCGCGGGCTCGGAACGCCCCGGCCGCAGGGAGAGCCCCGCGGGCTCGGGAGTGCCGCCGGGCCGGGCGGGAGCTGCCCCGCCACCACCGCCCCGCTCGGCCCCGCTGCTCCCCGGGTCACCGCCGTGCCGGAGGTTAAACAGCGCGGTGTGTTCCGTGCCGAGCGGGCCCCTCGGGGTAAGGCTGTGTCAGCTTGCCGTTACTGTGACCGAACTGAAACTGCCGCTGCTGCTTTGGTTAGTTACCTCCAGTAACGCTGGATCAAGGGGACTGACAAGGGAGATGAAACTTTGCGGGAACACGACTGGAATTCCATATCGTTTTTAATACAGAAGGGCTGGGAGATACCGATTGTGGAGTTTTTCTACTTTGTCTGCAGACGGAGTGACGGAGGCAGCGCATCAAAGCCAACCACGACGTTCTGCAAGTAGGCTGTTCACTCTGAAGCCTACAACGCGTAATTGAAATGTGATTAATTCCCCTGCTGATTAGCACTTGGAATAAACCTCCACCTAAAATTCTTATTCATTGTAGCAGATAGTGAAAGTCAAAAGAGGCCTTCGCCTAATTATTTTCTCTCTTCCGGCAGATTATCTTAACTGCCTTAGAAGAGGTCTGTAAAAAGGCCAGAAGAACATGTGCCAGTGAGAGCTGGAAATATTACATTTTCTTTTAATGTGCTTCCCAACTACAAATGTGCCTGCAGTTCTCATTTGTCTTTTTTTTTCTTTCTACTCACTTCTGTGCAGTCATGTCTTAAAGCTGTATTAAACAGCAACAAAAATAGTGGTTTACCTGTTTACTAGCATATTTCTCATTACTGGAGGTCATTCTCCAAAATCACCAGCCTAACTGGTTGAGCACATCCTGTAATTTAGCCTATTCCCTTCTTCAAAACCACTAAAAGAGAGCAAACTAAATAGCTAAATGGCTTCAAGGAGTGGAAAAGAGGGGAGACGGAACAGGCAAAAGGAGAAGGACAAGAGATGGAACAGAGGTGCCCAGGAGGAAGCTGAGCACAACCTGACCAAATGCCCCAGTTCAATGCTTTGAATTCTCTTTAGAGTCGGTGCAGTTGTGGGCGGCTCAGCCATCTTGGCCAAGTGACAATTTGAGTTCTCAGCTGTTCAGTTTCTAACTAGGCATTTTTAAGCCTCATAATCCCTACCAAAATTACTTTACGCTAATATAACAGTACTGTACTGTTACAATTTTAGCTATATGTGTGAAGGAAAAAAATGTCCAGCAGGAGTACAAAGATTCACATCAGAGATTTCCTGGGGAGAACACCTGGCAGCTTCCTTCTCCTCTGGAGCAGCACACTCCCCAGGAGCAGAGTGCATTACAGAGATGACCTTTTTTTTTATCTGAAGAAATGCAAAATACTGAAATGAGGAAAGATGAGTTTAAACATTTTTCCTTGGTACAGGGTGCCTCCCCTGAAAATGAACAGGCCCTGTTTGGATGCAGTTGCTTTTTCATGAGAAGAGAATGACAAGTGGCCTGTTGTAACTCTAGCTCTGCTGCTGGTTTGGTTTTGTCATGGCACTGCAAGAGTAGCAGGCACTGTGTAATGTGTAGGAGCAAGTACAGAACAAAAGACTGCTTTTCACAAACTACCTGATACAAAACGAGACATAAATAGCAATACAGGAGCCTAGGGAAACAGGGCAGTACTAGTCAGCATCTTTTCAATAGCTGAGAAGGTTTTTCAATAAGGATACAGTAAATAGAGTGGAAAAAATTAGGTTGTCGTGGACAAATCTACTTCTGCACCCATGGCTGGACTAGAAAAGACAAGATAGGAGGCTTGGGAAATCAGCAACACAACAGAACAATAGCTGAACCTCCCAAATGAGCATTTTTCAAACATGTAAATGTAGCAGGAAAAGGCAAAGGCTTCTGTCCAGAGCTCAAACCAAAAGAAATAAAAACAAAACCAAACCAACCAACCAAAAAAATTTAAGGGAGAAAAGGACTCAAGAGTTATTTCTTGATTCATGTAGGAAACCTTCTAATAACTCCTTCCTAGAAGAGTGATTTCCTATACCACTATTCATTACCTTATGCTGTATAAAAACATTTGGAAGCCATCCATCACAGCACTCTTTCCATCAGCTTGAGATAGCAGAACGAAATGCAAATACAACATCCTACTTAGATATTTAGCATATATTCTTACTACAAAGACATCTGTCTTCTCTGAAGCGAGCTGAAGCCAACCCACTTCCCTGAAAGAGGCCTTTTAAGAAGAATCAAGGGAACAGGAGATTAGTTAAGACTGGGAAGAATTTACCTCTCATTTCAGATAAAACGCAGGTTTGTTTTTCGCTCAGCACGTGACTGGATCATTTAGACAAATATTTTCTGAAGAGCTACAGCTCTAGGCAGGAAAGGACTCACAAGAGAAATTCTCTAGGGAGACCAGGAACAAGGATAGCTCTGTAGCTGAGAAGGGTGAAGTGGAAGTCTTAGACATCAGAGCAAGTTAACAGGTAGCTGAAAAAGAACAAGTTTGGATGTGAAGGGGGGAAAGAAGCCCATTAATTTTCCTTGGCAAATCTGAAAACATAGGATAAGCATTTTTCAGGAGTTTATGCATTCTAGGCTGGGGTCAAATCCCAGGTTTGTTCAGCATTTATTTCATCTTGTAGCTTGTGATCGTCTTGTTTAACTTGCTGGAGAATTGAAAGGTTCTTCTTCAGTTTGGTGGGAGTTGCCCTTCTCTTAGTAGGCGACAAAACTATGTCAGGGGTTTGCAACTGGTTGAATTTTCAGGTGAATGAAAGACTTTTCAGTTGTTACAGGAAACTCTTTCCCTTGGTAGCTGAGTGTTTGAAAACAGTCAGGACACTTCAGGAGATACAAAAATTAAGTCTCAAAAGCATTTGTATGTCACTTCAGGCATTCTGTTTATGCAGGGTGCAGTAGAAGTTCTGAGGTTACAGTGAAGTGCATACCATTACAAAAATTAGCATGCTTTATTTTCAACACAGAGAGCTTTGAGGGCGAAGAGCAAGTCTGGAGGGGAGCAAAAGGAAAGAAGATACAGGTGACATAAAACCTGGTTTCTGGTTAAGGGCTTGGGAAGTCTCTCTCTTGTTTGTTTTGTGAAAATGGTTTGGTTTGTCCCTGTCATCCTTTGTCCTTGCTTCTTTGCCTCTCATTATCCACCAGGCCTTGTTGCTATTTCTTGCTGCTCACCAGCATTGACTCAGGTGAAGTGCTTTGTTTGTCTGTGCAAGACAGGAGCTGTAATTGTTTCTGACTGTCAGGTTCTGAAGTGCCTGTATAGAAGTTTTCAGTAGTTATTGCTAGGAAGAAAAGCCTCTTTTCTCTACCATGTATAAGCACGTTTTTCCTGGTTTCCCTCTGCTGTGCAGCCTGAAGGTCACTGTGTACACCTGCTGATGTCCCATGCCAGCTGTGCCCCAGGCACAGACACATCTCTGCCTCCCAGGGGAGTAGTTTCTATTCTAAAAGAGCTTCACTTGCAGAAGAGCTGCTTGTTAATTCTGTTGTCATCATATGAAATCCTGGTTTCTATGTCCATCTCAGTAGTTATTTTTTTGATAGATCTGTGTAGCTTGTTTTGTTACTTTAGGAAAATGATAGAAGAAAAAATTACAGTTTTGTTTTTTGTTTGTTTGTTTGTTTTAATCTGGAACAATGAAACAAGCAAGTGATTCATGTGGTGAGGGATGTTCTCAGTATATCTATGAAGATACATCAGTATATCTCAGTCTCCAATTACTGTTCTTTTGTGCCAATGACTCAGCAGTAAGTAATCTGTAAAGTAATGAAAAGTAAACTCAATAAAAAGCAATCTGTGTACATTTCTGTCCTTTCTGAGAGTACATATTTATTATCAACAGTCCTGTGATAACATTAAATGTGTAGTTTATTAATGAATAACACAACATTAATAGATAATGTTATGTTTTATGTAGTTAAAAGGATATGTAGCAGCCAACACATTGTTACAGTGTTCTTTTTTTAATTTTTTTTTTGACTTTTGATGCTCTGCTGGTTTCAAGTGGCTTTCACTCAAATCACCTCCACTCTTCTTTCTTTCAGCAAGCTCTGCACAGGGGAATGCTGTGAGATAACCCACCCCACAACCCCCTCCACTGTAAAATATTAACTGTCCATTTGGACATTTGTGCTGTTAATGATATCTCTCAGTGACAGGCCATCTGTCCTGTTCACAGGAAAAATCAAGCAAACCAGAGTGAAATGCTGGAACTTGAGCTGAGAGGGAATCAGAGCAAGCCGTGCCTCCAAGACATGTTAAATGTCATTTCTAGCCTTTTTATGGCATCCAGTCATAAACCCAAATCTGTGGACGAGCAATAAACCAGCAAGACTCTTGCTGAGGAGGTATTTAGCCATGGCGGTGTGAAGTTTCTAGAAGCTGGTATTGAAGTTTTTCTAGTTTGTTGTCTGTGCATACCAAAACTGCCCTATCTGACCAGTTCATCTTGACATCCCGCCTGTGCTCCGTTGCTGCCCGGGATGTTTGTTTGCTGCCTTCTCTGCCCTCGAGAGCTCACTGGGGGAATTCCAGAGCTTGGCTAGCACGGGAGCTGCCTCCCAGCAGCGGCAGCTGCCAGCGCAGGAGGGAGTCAGCATTCCCCCGCTCCCGCTGCCACAGGATCCGTGCGGCACATGCCGAGCCTCCTCAGCTCGAAGGATCAAAGAAAAAGCATCCAGGATGGAATGTGCCCAAAAGCCCTGCTACTCTGCAGTCCGGGCTTATGGCCGCCTTGGAACTCTCGCAGAACCGAGCGGAAATTCGGTGCTGGAGCTGCTTGCCGCAAACACCGGCACATTTGTAGCAGCCGGTACTTGGGCACAGCCCTTCGGTTTTCGTGGGCGGGTGAAAAGGCCATAAGCAGCGCTGAATGTCAGAAATATTCAATCTTTAGACATTGGAATGTGCTGCCCAGGGAGGAGGTGGAGTCACAGTCCCTGGAGGTGTTTGAGCAAAGTGTGGATGCGGCACTCAGTGCCATGGTTGAGATGGTACTGTCAGGTCATAGGCTGGGCTCGATGACCTCAGAGGCCTTTTACAGCCTCGTCGATTCTGTGATTCCCGTCAGAAGCCAAAAGGCTCTCCGTGCTCAGGGAGCCCGACCCGGCCCCGGCCCTCTCCGGTGCCGGCTGTGGGCACGGCCGCCCGCCGCGCCGTCCCGCGCCCATTGGTCAGCTCGCCGCCGCTCCCTGTTCCTATTGGCCAGCGCCGCTCCGGGGCTGTGTCCCGATTGGTCGCGCCCTGCGCTTCCCCCACCTGTCACCGCTGGCACCGCCCCCCGCGCCGCAGTGGCGCGATCGGGCGATGTGGTGACGTCAGCGCCGGGCGGCGTCGCCATTGGCGGGCGGCGTGTGACGAGCGATGTGGCGCGCGCTGCTCCGGGCCGGGAGCGCGGCCCCTCGGAGCGGCCCCGGCGTGAGGGGAGAGCGGCGGGGGCCGAGCGCGCGGGCAGCGAGGTGAGCGGAGAGCGGGGCACGGGGAGAGCGGCCAGCGGCCACCCTGCCCCTCAGCCCTGCCGAGGCGCACCCAGAACGCCGTGTCCGGCTCTGGACTCCTCCGTACCCGAGAGACGAGGAGCTCCCGGAGCGGGTCTGCCGGAAGGCAGCGAAGGTCACGAAGGGGCTGGCGCATCTCCTGGCTGAGGGAGCTGGGTCTGCTCAGCCTCGAGGAGAGACAGCTGAGAGGAGACATCGTTGATATCTATAAATATCAGTGGGAGGGTGCCAGGGGGATGGTCCTCATTGCTGAGCAGCAAACAAGAGGCA